CCTTCACTGCATGGGGATGTCGGGCGGTGCGTTCCAGAAGGCCTTTGGAAAAGAATGAAAGATGAGACTGCCTTTCAGGAACCCTGAGGTCATCCCAGAGCGGGAGAAGAGGGAAGGCAACCCAGGGAGGGCGGAGGGCCAGGGAGTGACAATGCCAAGAGCAGAGAAGGGAGGAAAGAGAGAGGTGAAAAACTAAAATAGACCCAGGACAAATGGCGGGGGAGTGGTTATGAAGAACACTGTGGTCAGGTTATAAAGAGCCCACAAGGAGGGCCTGAGGCTTGTGGATCTGATTCTACCGGGCAGGGAGCCGGTGAGCGCTTGGGAACAGAGGAAGGACAGAATGGAGCAAAATGCCGGGGCGGATCAGGCAGGGGACACGAGGGCAGGAGAGCCCAGCTCACGAACATCTGTGGCCACGTCTGCAGCCTTCCCTGTGCTCTCAGCCTCTGGCCTTCCCCCGGGGCCCGCAAGAGAGAACCTGCCCGTCGACCTGTACTCCGAGCTGCTGGCAGAAAACTCCAGGCTGCGGGCAGAGCTGGATAAGAACCGCCACCAGTCGGCCCCCATCATCCTGCAGCAGCAGGCCCTGCCGGTAAGAGCTGCCGGCACAGGCTTGGCCTGGGCCTGCCCCAACAGGTGCTCGGCGATCACTCACAGCACAATCCAAGTTGAAGACCGAGACCAGGAACTGGGCTTCCCAAGGTCTCCAACGTTCCTGGCGTCTCCTGGAGCGCCAGCTCTCAGGCCTGCCCCTTTGCTCCCAGGGACACACATGGGTCTGAAGGCGCCACTTTTGCCCTCATTTAGCAGCCCCAAATGGCCCTTGACCTTTGATTCCTGACCCCTTTTGCTGACGTGCCCTCGGGCTCCACACAAGCCTCTCTGAGCTCCGTCCCGGAGCATTTCCTGGGATTGGTACAGCCTTGGAGAGCCCTTTTCCCCCATCCCAGGAGGACCCCGGGGAGTTGGGAGCAGGAGGAGACCTGGCAGAGAGACTGCAGGAGACAGATGGCCCAGGCCACTCCAAGGGCACAGAGACCCTGCCCGCACAGGTGGGTGCCCCCGGCCCCAGAAATGCCCCAGCCCCATTCCGTCTCCAAGGCTGCTGCAGGTGCCCCTGCCTCATGCAAACCCAAAGACGAGACATTTGGAATTCCAGCAAGGGGTGGCCAGGGGACACAGGAGAGTTTTTCTCTTCCTCCCAGGACTTGCGGGAGGTGAGTTCTGTTTGAAAGCGCATCCGATGGGGCGCCTGGGTGGCGCAGTCGGTTAAGCGTCCGACTTCAGCCAGGTCACGATCTCGCGGTCCGTGAGTTCGAGCCCCGCGTCAGGCTCTGGGCTGATGGCTCGGAGCCTGGAGCCTGTTTCTGATTCTGTGTCTCCCTCTCTCTCTGCGCCTCCCCCGCTCATGCTCTGTCTCTCTCTGTCCCAAAAATAAATAAAAAAACGTTGAAAAAAAAAAAAAAAGAAAGCGCATCTGATGCACGGACATCCAGGTGAAGTGCGGGGGGATAAGGGAACCCTTGCTTCACAGATGCTTCACTTTACAAGATTCCCTGTTCGAGATTCCTTTCTGGGCACCGACAGGCGCCACCTAGTGCATTTTACGTTTAGAGATGGATGTCCGGAAAGTCCATGTAACCAAAATCTTTGGGGAGAACAGCTGTGAAAAAAAGCACACACCGTATCGGGTCAACTTTGAGACGAGGGTTTGGCCCTGGGTTTGGCCCTGGGTTCAGGCTCTGAATCAGGCAGTTGAGTCTGGAACTCAGACCTGGCTGGTTTCTCCCTCAGTATCTCATGGCCTCCTGAGCCCACACGGCCGCCATCCCCAGCTGGAGCCATGTGTGCGTTTCTGCTTTGCCCACAGGATCTCCTTGGCAATACTTCAGACAAGTTCAACCTTCTGGCCAAGCTGGAACGAGCTCAGAGCCGGATCCTATCCCTGGAAAGCCAGGTGGGTGAGGTGCAGGCGTCAGTCAGGCTGGGCGGGTTCACCTCTCAGCCTATGACCAGGGTCAGGGTCAAAGAGTGACCAAGGTTGTGGCTCAGTCTATGACCAGAGTCAAGGATCAGTGTGGACTGAGGGTCAGGGCTCAGTATGTGGTTGGAACTCAGAGAAGGTCCTTCTGTGTCTTAGACCCCTCCCCCGCCACCCTGCCACGCCTGCTGTTTCCGGAAGGTAGCAGGTCCACATTGCCCAGGGTTTTGCTCACTGCCCGGGGAGGAGGCTCAGGCTCTGGATGTCCTGGATCGCAGGGATGGGCCCTGCTGCCCAGCAGTTCCCCATCTGTCCCTCTCCGTGTCCACAGTTAGAGGACTCGGCTCGACGCTGGGGACGAGAGAAGCAGGACTTGGCCACAAGGCTACAGGAGCAAGAGTACGGCTTGGCACAACCCTCAAACTCCATCATCACTGACCTGCCTGTGAGTGAGCCCTCTGGACGAGCTCCTTGGGGGTCAGGCAGTGGGGCTGGCAGCCACTCCCCGCCCCAATCCCGAGTCACCCGGCCTTGAGAAGAACTACGCAGGGGGACCAGCTACCCACTGGAAGTCTCAGTTTCTGCTCTGTTACCACCAGAAGCCCTCGCCTGGTCTTGATGTCCCACCTGCCTAAGGCATCGCTGAGATGCCCCACGGGTGGTGGTGAGAATCAAGGGGTGATGGCCGTGGGTGGGGTTGTCTAGGCGTTTCTGGACTGCTCTGGCATTGGCTGTCCTTTAGCATGGGCAGAGTACCTGCGGCCCCCACCCAGCCCCTAAGCACCTGAGGTCCTCCCAGGAGCTCACCTTCTCGGGCAACTGCAGTGCCGCACCCCCGCCAGGGAGGGGAGCAACATTGCCAGAGAGAAACACTGGCGGCGTCCTGAGCGCACATGGGCCTGTTCACAACTGCCCTTCAAGCTCAGCCCCGGGCTCCCAGGTCCCCCAGAGCAACACCCCTGAAGGCTCCTGCCCTTGAGCCATCAGTGTTCTGCACATCTCCAGGCTCCCGGAAAGGCCGGAAGAGGATGGGAGGTTGGGGCGTGGGGGCGGGACACTGACAGAGAACACGGGGCTACCTTGGCAAAGTCACCTGCTGAGACCTGGGGGCTCTTGGAGAAATTGGGTTTGACTTGCTGTGGTTAAACAGCTGTGGGAACCTTTGCGAAGTCGTGGCGCACTATGTTGTGGATCCTCTGAGGCATGGCTTGCCAAGATGCACTTTAATGGGTCATCCCCCGCCCCCAGCGGCAGGGGCGTGCTCACCTCACTTTGCTCTGCACACCACAGCACTACTCGGCCCTCTCCAAGGACAGCAGGCGACCCTCAAAGCTAGACCCCTTGGCGCCCAGCTCAGAGACCAAGCTCAACAAGCCCTCGAACTCCCAGAAGACCTGAGTCTTAGCAGACCTGAGTGCCAGAGCAGGCCTCCCTCTCTGTGTGCTGGGGAGTCTCATTCCACCCCCCAAATGACTCCATTAAATGCTGTAAGTCCGTGAGCATTCGTCTCTTTTCTGGGGAAGGGCAGCCTAGGGGGCCCAGCTTCCTCCTTCCAGACCCCACTCTGGGCCCGGTCCCTCTGCTGCAGCCTTATAGCCTCCTGCCTGTCCCAGAAGCTACCATTTTGGGAGAGCCAAAGGCCATAGTGGACCCAGGAGGGTGGGGGAGAAGAGGCTTTCCAAAGCAGGAGCCAGGGAGACAAGCCCCTTCCAGAACTCCAGAAGAAATGAGGCCAGCTCTGTTGGAAGATGTGAGGGAGGCTGGGACTTTCCACTTGCCCCTAAACATCTCATATCTGAAATCCCTTCTTTCAAGTTCGATTGATCAGTTTCTTGGGAAGGGAAAGACTTAAAGACTGACCGTGGCAATCAGTTACATGTTAGTGTGAAATAGTCCATTAACCAGGGCCAGGCTGAGTGGGCAATGTTGTGTCCATATATAGCCAGGGACAGGGAAGCAGATGGGGCTAGGGGAAGGAACCTTCTGCTGAGAGTCGGAAGGCCCGGATTCTAGTTATAAACATGCTGTGCGACCTTGAGTGACTCAAGCAACCTCTCTGGGCTTCCATTTCCCCATCTGTCCCATGCAGAGCTTGACTTCTTTGATGGTAGTGCCCTTTCCAGCCCTACCGTTTCTGAGTCAAAGACAACTGGGGCCCAGAGAAGTGAAAGGAAGCAAGAAAGAGAGAGAAAGCCAACAAGAAAGATGATTCTATGGTAGGGAAAAGTAGAAAGGCTCCAAAAGTGGACTCAGAACCTTCAGATGCTGGTAGAAGAGACCAGGGCAGCAGGGCCGCTGTCCTGGGCGGGACTAGCTCCCCTGTCTGCCTGCAGAACTTAGACTTGGCTAGCAGAGGGCCAGGAGGAACCAGGCACCTGGTCGGGAGTTATAGAACTCAGAGAGGGTAAGGGGGCCAAAACTGGGACCAGTGTCAGGCAGTCCAAATAATGCACCAAAGGCCCAGCCACAGTCTTCCTGCCTACTGCCCAGAGAAAGACCGGGTGGGGTAAAGCAAACATACTGGCCTCTTATTCCCTAGATTGGCCACCTCACACCAGACCCTCACTCAGGCTTCTGCCCCGGACATGCTCCAGAACTCTAGCTGACCTTGGCAGGAAGTCCTCATGACCCTATAGGGAACTCCCACCTTGAGTTCAGCCAGTCAGAGGTCTACAGGAACCTCATTCCTGATAGGTGGGCCTGCCTGGAAGTCTGTTCTCAGACCACCCTGTTCCCTCAACAGAAGCCGGGTCCTTTGTCCCTCTGCCCGCCGCTCCAGGAGCTCCCCGCACAGTGGCAATAGCCCGCCACCTGCTCTGCCTTGCCCCCAGCCCCAGGCAGCAAGGGGGTTAATCCTACTGGCTCCTGAGCAGGTGGGTCCCAATAGAATTGGCTTCAAGGGCAGCTGCCCTGGGGGCCCCATTCGTGCCCAGATCCCGTTGCTGACCCAGGTCAGGGAGCATCGTCACAGGAGCGATAGATCACTCGGGGGTCGGACGGAAATGAGAACACTTCACACGGTTTGGTCATTTATTGCCTTCATGGGTCAGGAAAAGAAGGAGAAGAGGTGGGAGAAAGAGGGGTGCCCTGGCCAACTTTCTCCTCCCAGAGCTGGCCCAAAAGGAGCAGGGGAGGGGGGCTGAGGGCTGAAGAGCAGAACCGCCATGGGCCCCACCCCGACCTTCCTCCAGCACCCCTGCTGGCCTGAGAGGTGGGAGAGGCAGCGTCCACCCTCTCTAATCACACCTGGGGTGGGTCCTGGCTGTAGGGCCTGAAGGTGAGGAGGATGGGCTTGTCGGGCATCAGGATGAGGTTGAATGTGGTGCCCACATCACTGAGATGTTGCATTTCAACTCTGAAGTTCTCCAGAATCTGAGAAAGAGGGGTGGTGGGCTTAGGGGAGAGGTGGGGAGGGGCTGTCTCCCTCAGGGCCAGGCTCATTCACCTGTAGGTGTCACCTGTCGTGAGTGACTGGAGGAACTCACCGCCAGCTCCTGTTTGGCCCTGCACAGCGCCTGAAAATGCATGACTAGTGCCTCGTCCCCTCGATCAGCCTTATAGCTTCAACGAAACCTTGTCCCCCCCCCCACCCCCTTACCCGTCCCATCCCGCTTGGGGGGGAACAGATGGCCAGGGGACACCGATGGGCCATAAGAAGATTAGCCCGAAACTGTCAGGGAGGAGGAAGGCAAATAATGGGAGACAGATGTCCCCAGCCCTGTACTCCCTGGGCTCCGGGCAGAGATGAGAGTAGGAGGGTCACTGCCTTCATTAGGGCCATGGCCAGCCCAGGTGGCCGGATGCCCCCGGCCGGACTCACATGGATGAGGAAGAGGGTCATCTCGAGCTCAGCGATCCGCCGGCCCACACACTGCCGCACACCCCAGCCAAAGCCCAGGTTCCGGAAGTGGATGAGTTCCTTGTCTTTACTCAGCCATCGGGTTGGGTCAAACTTGCCCGGATTGAGGAAGAAGGTGGGGTCTTGGCCCAAGGCATAGGTGGACACCTGCACCAACGTCTGGGGACAAGGTGGGCAGAGGCCTGAGAGGCTTCATCTACTCCCAGCCGGGAGCATTAACTCAGCTTCCCCACCCCCGCTCCCCAGCCAGGCTGCCCAGTGTTCCAGCACGGGACCCCGCCCACCGTGTGACGTTGAAAAAGTTCCCACCCCTCCCTGAGCCTCACCCATCAGATGGGCAGGACTGAAGACTCAAGGCCAGGGATGGCTCAAGGGATTGTCCAGCCCTTTCCTCAACCCCAGAGGGCTCCCGAGACCCAGTGGGGCCTCCCTCTTAACCCTGGGCTCCAGCAACATTCCAGGAACCATCACCCCCTATGCCCAGTACTCCTGCCCTTCATTCCTACTTGGACTGCTGCACCAGCCAGCTCCAGGAAGAAAGAGGGGACAGAAACCCTCGTCGCCACCCATCTGTGTGCAACTGCAGTCTGTCCCCAGCCTCCTCTGTCTGACTGGCAGAGCCGGCAGCCCCCCCTGCTGCACCCACCTTGGCAGGAATCATGTAATTTCGAAGAACCAAGTCATTTTCAAGGTATCTCTGCAGGGTCACGGAGATGGGGTGGAGTCTGCCGGAGGAAGGCATTCAGAAGCTGATGCCCCAGGGCACCCGGGTGGCTCAGTCAGTTAAGCGTCCAACTCTTGATTTCGGCTCAGGTCACGATCTCACGGTTCATGACTTCGAACCCCACGTCGGGCTCCATGCTGTCAGCTGTCAGCGCGGAGCCTGCTTGGGATCTCCCTCTCGCTCTCTGCCCCTCCCCCGCTTGTGCTCATTCTCTCTCTCTCTCTCTCTCTCTCTCAAAATAAATAAACTTTAAAACAACAGAAAAGGAAGCCGATGCCCTGAGGCCTGGACACAGCCTGTGCACCCAGCAAGGCATCTCAGCCCCAGTGCCCCGGGGGGATCTGGGGACGGGACGTACTCTTCTCTCCTCCCTCGCCATTCCCAGCTGTCTCCCCGGACTTCTCACTTCCTACCAACGCCCTCCCTTCGGCCCTGCCCAGGGATGTGGGGGATGAGGTGGGTGGGCCTGGGAGGGTTGGGCTTGCCTCAGTGTCTCCTTGATGCTGGCTTTGAGGAGCGGGACGTGCTGCAACATCATGCTGATGTCTCCCTGGGCCTGGCGCCGGGCAGCCCGGACCTCCTCCCGCAGCATCTCCTGCACCTTCAGGCTGCGTGCCATCTCGTACAAGTGCCACTGCAGTGTCATGGACGTCTGGCAGGGAGTGTGCGGTGTGGAAGACAAGGAGGACCCATCACTCCTGAGGCATCTAAACCCATGCTAAATTCTCACTTCCAAAGATCTTTGCCCACTCTCATCCCTGCATCCAGAGGCCACCGTCCACGAAAGCAAAACACAGTTTGACAGGCAAACGTCCAAAGAGCCTGCCTCACCCCCCAGGCAGGAATGTTTGGGGCAGCATTTGTCCCTGCCCTCGTCCCCGATGTCACCAGCGCCCACCTGTTTCCCCAGCCAGCAGAGTCACCCATGCAGCTGGTGCCTTCTTCCAGAGGACTCCAGAGGCCTTTGGAAGCCAAACCCTACTACTGTAAGGGCTGTACTCCCCAATGCCTGTCATCCCACCCCTCTTCCGTTAGACCTTCCCCAAACATTAGTCCTTGCCTGTGGGAACAGAAAAGAAAGTGAGGCCCAAAGATACTGAAACCAGAGCCACCAGACCCGTTTTCCATCCGTGTTTCAATGAGCAATGCGGTCTATTCTGGGATGGACCAGCCCATCTCAGTATTAGCCGGAGGCAGTGACCAGTAGCCCTTCACTGAAGTGTGAGTGACACTCGTCAAGCCCCACAGTCCAAGATTCTTCACGGGGAGGGGGGACCCCAGGCTGAAGCAGCCCTCCCTCCTGGGGCCAGGACATGCTGCTATCTGACCAAGGGTCATATTTTGGTCTCCTCCTTCCTCCCAGCAGGGGCACTCTGGAAAAAATGTCATGAGGCCACTTCCCAGCTCCAAATCCTTACCTGGCCCCAGAAGCTTTTGCCTGACCCGTGAGGCTCCCCCCAACACTTGCCTACTGCTCCCTGCCCCCTGCCCCCTAATGTTCTAGCTACACACAGCTCCCGAAGCCCAGAAATCTTCCTCATGCTGTTTGCTCATTCTAGAATTACCGCCCCCACCCCCCGCCGCCCCCCACCAAACCTAGGAGGCATCGATGTACTCCTTTAAGGCTCAGATCAAATGTGTGTAATGGTCTTATCACCTCCAAGGCCTGACACAAACTAGGTACTTGGGAGATATTGAATACGATAGTCAACTAAGTTACCAACTGTGTGACCTTAAGTTACTTAACCTCTCTGTGCGCCAGTTTCCTCATCTAAAACAGAGGGATAATAGTAACATACCTCATAGTGTTGTTTGTGAATACTAAATGAGTTAATACATGTGAAAAGCTTAGGAGCCTGCCTGCCATCTAGGAAAGGCTTAATTTTTAAATTTTTTTTAATACTTATTTTATTTTTTTATTTTTTATTTTAAATTTTTTCAACGTTTATTTATTTTTGGGACAGAGAGAGACAGAGCATGAACGGGGGAGGGGCAGAGAGAGAGAGGGAGACACAGAAACGGAAACAGGCTCCAGGCTCTGAGCCATCAGCCCAGAGCCCGACGCGGGGCTCGAACTCACGGACCGCGAGATCGTGACCTGGCTGAAGTCGGACGCTTAACTGACTGCGCCACCCAGGCGCCCCAATACTTATTTTATTTTTGAGAGAGAGAAAGAGACAGAGCATGAGCTGGGGAGGGGAGGGGCAGAGAGAGGGGGAGACGGAATCCGAAGCAGGCTCCGGGCTCTGAGCTGCCAGCACGGAGTCCTACATGGGGCTCGAACTCACTGACTGAGATCATGACCTGAGCTGAAGTGGGACGCTCAACCGACTGCGCCACCCAGGCGCCCCTAGGACAGGCTTAAAAAATGTTACCCAAAAATAGGTGAGCGGTTTTGTCTTCTACATAACTGATGATGAACTAGGTTTAAAATATGCTCAAAGGCTCAGCTGCATCCTGTCCCAGAGACCAACAATCCGCTGTTAGAGCCCAACAGAAATCCGATACCAGGAAAGAAAGTTACTAACCCGAGGGCTTTGGCACGTGTCTCCCTAGTCCTGAAATTTCTGCTTCTCCCTCCTCTCAGCAGCAGCCTTCAAGACACAAGCTGAACGTCGGCTCCTCTATGGGGCGCTGTCCCTGTCCTACAAGGCCACCGTTTTCTCTCCCTCCTCTGGGCACCGTCAGTAACTCGGCACATGCCTGGTCGGCCGACCCTACAACACGGCGTGGTGGTCATCGGCGCCCATGCAGCCTCCTCGTCGTGGGCTGCCCCGCATCCCCGCCAAGTTCACAGGCTGAAGTCCTGACCCCCCAGTACCTCACCGTGGGACACTGAGGGCCGTGAGGCCTTTCAAGAGCGAATTAGGGTGAAATGAGGTCACGTGGGTGGGGCCTAATCTAACAGGACTGCTGTGCTTCTAAGAAGAGGAGGTTAGGACACAGACACACGTGCGCATGCGTGCACAGACCCTGTGAAGACACAGGGAGAGGACAGCTATCTACAAGCCAAGTGGAGGCCGCAGAAGAAACCAACCCAGCCACCTGGCTCTTGGACTTCTAGCTCCAACTGTGAGAAGATAAATTTCTGTGTTTTAGGCCACCCGGTCTGTGGTACTTCGTTCTAACAGCCCCGGCACGCTGATATGCCCTTCCTTCCCGGGCCCTTTGGGACATTTGGGGTCTATAGCATTCATCTTTACGGTCTCGATGCCTGAATCACAACTAACACTCCATAAACACTAAATAATGAGCCCTCACTATCATAGCGGCCTGGGAAGGTTCAAGATAGTGGTAAAAGGGACCGCACACAGGCCAGAGGCATGTTGACAGTCAAGAAGTTTCTGGGGTATTGAACCGCCTGTGGAGAGGGCCTGAGGGAGAGACCACAGAGCATGCCTCCAGACACAGGGGGCACCATGGGGGACTGACGTCTGGAAGGGGGAGGATGTTCTACTGGCTCCCAGATCTTCTGCGGTCCTGCCTGCCTTCCTGAATCGAGCAAGCTGTGTCCTCCACCTTTGATTGGAGCACCCCTCCCTCCCTCAAGGGCTCCAGGCGCAACCTGGGCCCGCCACCTATGCCTGGGTGCTCCGTTCTCACAGGCCAAGAAAACCTGGCAGATCAGCCTCAAGTTATGCACCATGGGTGACCATGTGACCTGGCCCTTCCTCATCCTAGAGGATTAGGATTTAAGAAATGCAACTGGAGAAAGGGAGGCCCACCCCACATGGGTAGGGTTTCAGGCAACGAGGTGGACTGGTGGGGAAGGGGCACGGGGCACAGGAAGGGACAGGATGTGCCTTCGGCCACCTCACCGTGTCCACACCCCCTGCCAACATCTCTGTTATGTTGGCCTTGACATCCTCAAAGAGCAGCTTGTGACTTCTTAGGAGGCGTTGGAGGATGCAGGGGTAATTGTTGAAATCTCTCTTGTGCCTCAGGTCCCAGTAGAAGTTCTGGGTGTATGCCTCCGCTGTGCAGGAGGAGAAAGGAAGAGTGAGCTCTCTGCAGGTGGGAGGGCAGGGGAGGGCAGGCACCAAGGGCCTGCGGGTTCAAGAGCCCAGCTTGCTCGGCTGCCACTTTACTGAGCACACACTCTCTGCTAAGCCCTTCATATCCATTTAATTCTTGACCACAGCTCCAGGGAGGGAGGTGAGATCATCCCCATTTTACAGATTAGGCAACAGAAGCCCTAAAGGGGAGCGGCTTGCCCAAGGTCACGAGAGTGTCGGGGGTGGGAGGGCAGAGCTGGGATATGGTTCTAGGTCTGAGGTCAACACCACACCCCCATCTGCCTTCTCCACCCTACCTTACCAATCTCGCTCACCAAAGTCCTAATCTGTCACCAAGCACAGCTGTGTCTGGAGCACCAGTCCTTAACCCTCGGGAGATCCTGGGCTCTTGGGAAGAATATGATGAATGTCTTTGATCCTCTTTCTAACCATCTCCAACAGCCAGCCTTTAGGCCACCATGGACAGGAGTTCCGGGGCCTTCCTGCCTCCTCTCCCTGCCCACCAGAGAGCAGAGATTTCTTACCTCTCTCCCCCCTCCCCAATCCCAGGCCTGGGTTTCCCACCCTCTGGGGTAGACAGGACTCTCCTGGCCCCCAGACTTGGCTAACCAGCCTTCACCTTTATTGAAAATCACATCCCACGCAGCCACATGGTCCCTCCAGGTCTTGGTCTTGAATAGACGGAACAGGTCTGGGGGGAAGTTGAGCATGGGGACACTGGTGTGGAACATCTGGTAGACAGCGTCGATGAACCGCTGGGCGTCAGGGTCCACCACCTCCTCCAGCATCCCCAGGCGCTCCCCGAACATGACGTTGGTGATGGCTGCAGGGGGAGGCAGAAAAGCCCCTCTCAACCTGGCCATCTGAGGGCGTCAGCCCCCAGGAACCCCACCCCCGCCAGCCCAGAGGATCTCCTGCACCCAACCTCAGGCTCCTTCAGTAAAGAAACTGAGGCCTGAGTCCCAAACAGTGGAAATGGCAGGACTGAGGGAAAGCTACCCTCTGGGAGCCACTCGGGTCCTTCAGAGGGGCGAGTAGAAGACCCTGCAAAGGGTGGCAGGAAGCAGTCTCCAGCAGGGAAAGTGCCCAGGCGGGGCTGAAACTGCGCCTCCCACCCTCCAACAGCACCCCAAGCAGCCTCTGGGCTTTCCTCCTGGGAAGGGAGATCAATTTCTCATCTGGAAGTGACCAAATTGGCTATCTGCCAAAACAGGCCATATGGGAAAGTGGATTGGCCATCCAAGACCCACTCTGGCTGGACCTAAAAACTCCCAACCGCCCCAAGTGTTTCCTGCCTACTTGGTCAGGAATTTGAATGTTGACTTCATACCAAACTCTGGACACCCCAAATCTCCTGCAGTGATCACATGATCGCCATCAAGCCACAGGCCTTTGCATGCACCATTCCCTCTTCCCATACTGCCTGACTCCTTACCCCATCTATAAAACTCCTACATATCCTCAACTACCCCATTTAGATTAACCACCCAACTGTCCCTTCCTCTCCCAGACCTCGAAGGTCAGTGTCCCAGGAGAGAGAGAGGTAGAGGATGAGTCCAGCAGTTCATCCCAGAAGCCAATCCCAATGCTTCTTCAGGATCTGTGCTGGGTCTCAAGGTAGGAGGCTGGGTTCTCCCACCCACAGGACCACTGCCAGGCAGAAACAGTCTCCTTACACTCGAAGGCAAAGCGAAACAGGTTGTCGCTGATGTCCCCTGAGAACTTTCCGGAGCCCTGCAGCTTGATGCGCCTGTGCAGGACTTTCACAAAGTCCTGAGACACTGGGTCCAGCAGGGGAATGAAGTTCTTTATGGCCTCTGGAGACATCACCTCCTGGTTCAGGGCCAGTCGGTCTTTCTTCCAAGCTCCTGACTTCCTGAGAAAACACAGGCCCTCAGGCCCTGATGGTCACAAACCCCAGGCCTGGCAGACACAGAGGGGGCTGACTCAACTTTCCCAGGAGGCCGAGCCACAGCTCAGAGCCCGGCACTCACTTCCACCCCCATCACTCTGGGCCTCCCATCTCCCAGCTTCTGCCTGGCATGGAGGCAGGAAGAAAGAGGGTAGGGAGAACAAAACCCCGACCTCCCCCCCCCCCCACTGCCTCTACCCCGCTGCTGCTGTGGCCAAGAACTCCTATTCTTAGAACCTCAAAGTAACTTTCAAATCCTCTAGTGTTTGCCTCAGCGGCACACATGCCCTTCCTCTTGGCTGATGTTCACCTCCTGCCATTCAAGTGCCCCTCGACTTCACCTTTTCTGGCCCCTGCACAGATACAACTGGCCAATCTCTCCTCCTCTGCACCCCTGGTTATGTCCCACCAGCACCATTGGTGGGGGAGCTCAGGTGCCCTGAATTGGGTTAATGATAGACCTCAGCTTACGGCCCATACTTGGAAAGAGATCCACACAAAGCCCTCTTTGTAGTTTGAGGGCTTCGCTTGTTTATAAGGATATTATTACAAACTCACCAGGCAACACGAAAACTAGGAACTTGACAGTAACTTACATAGGCCGACCTGGTCCTCCCACTTCCTGCCTCCCTGGCCAAGGGGACCACCCTGACTCCTCTGCTTGTTTTTGTATATAGTTTGATCTATAATTATTCTAAAAATGTATACCTGATGAATGGATAAAGATGTGGTATATATTTACAATGGAGTATTACTCAGCAATCAAAAAGAATGAAATCTTGCCATTTGCAACTATGTGGATGGAACTAGCAGGTATTAGGTTAAGTGAAATTAGTCAGAGAAAAGACAGATATCATATGACCTCACTCATATGAGGAATCTAAGGTACAAAATAGATGAACATAAGGGAAGGGAAGCAAAAATAATATAAAAACAAGGAGAGAGACAAAACATAAGAGGCTCTTAAATATAGAGAACAAACTAAGGGTTGCTAAGGGGTTGTGGGGAGGGGGATGGGCTAAAATGGGTAAGGGGCATTACGGAAGACACTTGCTGGGATGAGCACTGGGTGTCATACATAGGGGATGAATCACTAGAATCTACTCCTGAAACCATTATTGCACTATATGCTAACTAACTTGGATGTAAATTAAAAAATAAATAAATTTTAAAAAGGGGCGGTGCCTGGGTGGCTCAGTCAGTGGAGCATTGGACTTCAGCTCAGGTCACGATCTCACAGTTCATGGGTTCGAGCCCCACATCAGACTCTGTGCTGACAGCTCAGAGCCTGGAGCCTGCTTCGGATTCTGTGTCTCCCTTTCTCTGCCCCTCCCCTGCTCACGCTCTGTCTCTGTATCTCAAAAATAAATAAATGTTAATAACTATAATAATAATAATAAATGTATATTTGTTTTCAGCTTTTAAAAAAATTTTTTTAATATTTATTTTTTTAAAAAAAAAATTTTTTTTCAACGTTTATTTATTTTTGGGACAGAGAGAGACAGAGCATGAATGGGCGAGGGGCAGAGAGAGAGGGAGACACAGAATCGGAAACAGGCTCCAGGCTCTGAGCCATCAGCCCAGAGCCCGACGCGGGGCTCGAACTCACGGACCGCGAGATCGTGACCTGGCTGAAGTCAGACGCTTAACCGACTGCGCCACCCAGGCGCCCCTTAATATTTATTTTTAAGAGAGACAGAGACAGAGTACAAGCCGGGGAGGAGCAGAGAGAGAGGGAGACACAGCATCTGAAGCGGGTTCCAGGCTCTGAGCTGTCAGCACAAAGCCCGAGGTGGGGCTCGAACTCACGGGCCGCGAGATCTTGACCTGAGCCAAAGTCGGTGCTTAACCGACTAAGCCACCCGAGTGCCCCTGTTTTTAACTTTTTTTAAAGAACTGTCATGACTTGCTTTTTTCCCTCAGTTTTACACTTCTAAGTATCATCTGGATGGTTGCGGGTCACTGAGTCCATTCACTTTGACTGGCGTGTGCCACCACTCACTCATTCTCGCTCCTGTCGGGCATTTAGGTGGTTTCCTGAGCTTTGCCTTATGAACAGCCCTGCTCAACCACTCTAGCTCACGTCCCCTGGGGACCCGTTCTTTGGCGTCTATCCCTGAGCGCAGACCTGCTGTCTTGTAGGTGTGTGAACACTCAGCCACAGGAGGCGATGCCCAACCGTTTTCCAAAGTGGCGGCACCAACTTTCACTCCCGCGAGCAAGCCACGAGAACTCTCATCTCTCTGTATCCTCAGCAACACTTGACATGGTCACATGTCAACGTTTGATGAGCGATTTGGTGGACAACTGTGTCCGTTACACTTACATACACCGACTTGTCCGCGATTCTCACTGCCCCTTTAGACTCACGGTGGCGGGGCCCTGCCCTCCTTGTCACTGTACCCCAGAGCCTGGCACACAGCAGGTGCTCAAAAAGATGGGTCTTGGGGCGCCTGGGTGGCTGGGTCAGTTAAGTGTCTGACTTCGGCTCAGGTCGTGATCTCACGGTCCGTGGGTTCGAGCCCCACGTCGGGCTCTGTGCTGACCGTTCAGAGCCTGGAGCCTGTTTCAGATTCTGTGTCTCCCTCTCTCTCTGACCCTCCCCTGTTCATGCTCTGTCTCTCTCCGTCTCAAAAATAAATAAACGTTAAAAAAAATTTTTTTTTTTTTTTAAAAAGATGGGTCTTAAAGCGTGAACCAATAAATGAGAACTGCTCTAGATCTTTATTTACTCATTACAATCTTCAGCCTGAGCACTTCCCTGAAGGCTGGCAGAGCAGTTCACCATCAGCGGCTTTATGGTGACAGGAAGATGCCAGGGATTTGCCCAGAGGCCCCATGCCACAGCTGCCCATCATCTCCCACCAGCTCCCCGGAGATGGCCCAGGACTCACTTCAACAGGACGCCGAGGGGTCTCTGGAAATGCTGGTGATAGGCCACCCACGGTGGGATGGAAAATCGTTCTGGAGTGGGACCCTCGAACTTAAAGAGAAGGGCCACATCTTCAGGGTCGATGATATAAACCGACTCCATGCTGCCCAGCTTCTCCCTGGGGAAACAGAGGAGACAAGCTAGGGTGGGTTCCCGGAGAGCCATGCAGACTCGGGGCAATCAGGACGGGGCCCAGCTCACATATAACCGCCTCGTGGCCAAGACTGCAGAGCAAACAGTCCTGGGAGTGGACCCCGATCCCACAGCACTCCTTGCTGTGTGACCCGAGGCAAGGCGCTCACCCCTTCTGAGTCCATTTCCTTCTTTATAAAATGGAGATACAGTACCTGTCTCACAGGGTTGCTGACGGACAAGATGATACAGTCTATGGAAGTGACTCCAGTCAGGCATTGGATAAGTGACAGCTTTATGTTCCTCTTGCCATCACGGTAGCTGCTGCCTGGCCCCAGGACGAGCCTGCCCCCACCCAGGGTCTACCGTGGACCATCAGATCCTCGCTCCCACGCCCTTCTTCCTGGGCTTCCAAAGCCTCAGCACCCTCCCCGCCTCGCACCCACCGCAGAGCTCAGAAACAGCGTGGTCCTGTCACTACTGGAGGGACTCAGTGTAGCTTTCTAGGTAGTCCATAGGCCCGGCCAGCCAGTCCCTTCTAAGCTCTAGGATTGCAATTCTGGGAGTAGCCACCCTGCCTCTCCTCAGATTCCAACAAAGCACTTTGTCTCTATTCAAACAAAACCCTGGTAAAATATCAGGCCTCGGGCATAGATACCTGTCACAAAGCACTTTACAGTCTCTATTAAAACACCACCACAGGGGCGCCTGGGTGGCTCAGTCGGTTAAGCGTCCGACTTCGGCTCAGGTCATGATCTCGCGGTCCTTGAGTTCGAGCCCCGCGTCGGGCTCTGTGCTGACAGCTCAGAGCCTGGAGGCTGTTTCAGATTCTGTGTCTCCCTCTCTCTCTGACCCTCCCCCATTCATGCTCTGTCTCTCTCTGTCTCAAAAATAAATAAATGTTAAAAAAAATTGAAAAAATAAATAAAACACCACCACAAAAGACTCTTAAAGATAGAGAACTGAGGGTTGATGGGGGGAGGGGCATGGGCTAGACGGGTGATGGGCATTAAGGGGGGCACTTGGGATGAGCACCGGGTGTTCTACGTACGTGATGAACCCCTCAAGTCTACTCCTGAAACCAATATTGCACTGCGTGCTAACTAACATTTAAGTAAAAAATTGAAAAACATAAACCACAACTGTGGGGAAACAGCAGAAAAGTCCACCTCTTACTTGCATCTGCCTTTTGCCTAAGAAACTTAATTCAAGATACCCTATAAGACAACATATAAAAACACACAGGTCCAAGCCAAGTTCTCTCCCCTCCCCCTTCCTCAGAGAGATGGGGGGGAGGGGGGAGGAGGGGAAGAAAGAGGAAGAGGGGAGAGGGAGCGGTCCCTCATTAACCACTGACCCATTGCACCCCAGCCTACCTTCCCAGGTCCCCTTGGGCTTTGTCTGTGGCCTCCCAGAATTTCCCCTCCGTATTTTTCCAGCTACCAAGCGACCTCACACCACTAGCCCCATCCCCCCCCTCCCCCCCAGCTCAGCAAAATCCTTGAACTGCCATTGTTATCAATTCCAACTCTGGGAATCTAGCCCGAGGCAGTGATCTGAAGCGTGACAATGATGCCTGATGGATAAGCCTCGTGTCTAATAGCAAAAAACCCCAGAGACGGCTGGATGTCCACTTTAAAGAACTGGCTACCATCATAAGGCTTATCCACACTACGGACTACCGTGCTGCCTTTTAAAATTATATTAAAGAGACAAAAGAGGAAAGAAGTCCTCCATATGTCGTTGTGGGACCCCAACAAACAGCATACATAATATATTCACATTCTTAATGTTACATAAATATTATCAAAATTGAGAGGCGCCTGGGTGGCTCAGTAGGTTGAGATTCCGACTCTTGACTTCCACTTGGGTCATGATCCGAGTCGTGGGATCGAGCCCTGCATCTTTGGGCTCTCTGAATGCAGAGCCTGCTTGAGATTCTCTCTTCTCTCTCTGCCTCTCTCCCCTACATCGTGCACTGTCTCTCTCTCTCTCAAATAAAAAATATACATATTATCAAAATTGAGATTGTGTCTGATTGCAATTTTCCATTGTGCTTGTCTATATTTTCTGAATTGTTTATTCTCATTTATTCACAAATGTATCATTTCTGAGCCATAAATTAGAACATAACAGTGACACTGAACTAAAGTCAGACAATTTGGGGTTCCAAAGATAGCCCTGGCTTTGCCCTGATAAGCTGTGTGACCTTGGCAAGATGCAGGAAGGACCTTCTCCTTCCTGGCTCAGTTTCTCCATCTGTAAAATGTGAATAGTAACATCAAATACAAGGATGCGTCGAGAGGCTCAGATGATAGTGACTCAGAAAACAGAAGGGGCTTGAGAAAATACGAGTTCCTAGGTTCCTACCCGTTCCTACGAGGGAGAAGCAGCAGGGAAGGAGGAGAAGGGAAGAGAGAAGGAAGCAGGGAATATGGAAATATGGAAAGATCTACCCGAAGGGAGGAGCCACCTTCTCCTTGCTGGGCAATGCGGGGGGGAAGGGGGGGGGAGGGGGGGGGGAACCCTGACAGGAGAGGAGGAGGAAGGAACCCTGACCAATGAGCAGCTGCACCCCTCCACAAACACGCCTGCCCCCCCTGCCCTCCCATCCCGACCCCCCTTCAAGACAGCCAACATATCCTATCAATGCCCTTTCCCCATCCTGACCCTTTCACTTAAAGGAAAATGCACCGTCCCTCCCAGGGTCCCCTCCCTGCCCCCAACCCGCACCTCCACCACCTCCAGTCTCTTAAGTATCTGCTCAGAACAGAGCCCAGGTGTGCCTGGAAGGTGCATAGCTAAATCAGAACAAGTGAGGCCTCCCACCAAGGGCAGCCCGCAGACCCCTTCCCTCGGAATAGGGGAAGGGGGGGGGGGAGCACATTCAGAGGCTAAAAGACCAAAGGCCCCTTCCTTGAGGCAGAAATCAAGGCAGATGCCTGGGGAAGAGGAGCTGTGGCCCAGCCGAGGGGAAGGGACAAAATCAGCTGCTCCAGAGCTGCGCAGGGCTGAGGGGTGAGGCCGGCACCCCAGCAGGAGACCAGGGCAAGAATCCTTACCTCTCCAGCTTCAGTTTCCTCCCACAGTGGGATGACAAACTTACCTTCCAAGCTGTCTTAAGGACGGCTGAGGCAGGGAGGCAGTTAACAGGGCTTCGGCCCTGATCACCTCCCCCCAGTCAATTTCAAGGCCCTGATCACCTCCCCCCAGTCAATTTCAAAGCGGTAGGACCTGAGGCCTCAGGGCTGGGAACTGAACCCATTGTCTGGGAAGCCTTCTCCCTTCTCCTGCCACCAGCCCCAGGCAAGGAACAAACAAGTCAGAAGTAGACCAGAGCCTGGAATGGAGGGCAGGACTTTTGGGGAAGGGGACCCCCGGCCTAAACCAGCGGTGCGATGTCCTGTTTCACATAACCTTGAGTTGCTGGCTGTTTTTTGAGCCTATAAGCAGATTTATCATCCTAAATTTCTTGACTTTAAGTTCATGTTAATGGCTTTATGTTTGAGACCTCTCTCTTGAACAGTTTTTCCTAATGGAGCCCTGTTATGTCTAGGATGGGCAGCCCTCTACCCTATCCCATGAGCCCCACAATCTGCCAGGCTTACCTGTAAATGGGGCCATACTTCTGGAAGTTCTGGAGTTGGTGATAGTGGATTTTCTGTGAGCCCATCTCCCTCCAGAAATTGTACAAGTTTAGCCAGCCGTTGTTTCCCGGGGAGGGGATCTCGCTGAAGGGGCGGGGAATCTGAGTGGAGATCCCAGCCCCCTCCCCAGTGGGCGCCCTGGGATGCCCTGGGCCCTCCCGTGCGGTGTTCAGGAGGGGCTGGCAGCCTTTGACCAGGACTGAGCGAAGAGGGAACCCCTTGGCCAGCATGCTGTCCCAGGGTGACTCTGGCCCTGGGCCCCTGCGGCCCAGCTTATAAGCAGCAAGTCAAGGCTAAACGAGCTGACAAAGCGGTCGGCCTCCCTCCTTGGCCTGTTGGCTCCAGCCCACACACAGCCCCTCCCAGACTTGGGGTGACTTGGGAGACTTGGGAGACTCAGTCTGGGATTTCTGCAGCCAGAAAGGCTTCCCGAAGCACAGGAAGACCCCTCTGCCTCTGTCCTCACTACAGCTCCAGCAGATCCCTGAAATGGTACAGGTTTGTGCCTTTCCTCTGCTGGGGTGTTGGGGCCTCCGGCTGAGCCCTGCTGTAGGGAGCCAGCCGCTGGCAGACATCCCTCAGCATACACGGACAACCTGGGGCCCAGGAGGAGGTCAGAGCCACCCTGCAGCTTTGGGCCAGCCTGCATCTTAGTTGTGGCCCCATTGCTGATTGAGAGAGAGAGAGAGAGAGAGAGGTAATTATAAATTGTTTTTTGTATAGTTCCCTGATTTCTAAAATTCTACTTTTTCTGCTTGGAAAAAAAAAAGTCTATATTTTCTGAAAATGGCAGGTGTTGTTATCGTTATTTTTTTAATGTTTATTTATTTGGGGGAGAGAGAGAGCGTAAGCAGGGGAGGGGCAGAGAGAGAGAGGGAGAGAGAACCCAAGCAGGCTCTGCGTTGTCAGCACAGAGCGGGCCTCGAACCCACGAACCGTGAGATCATGACCTGAGCTGAAATCAAGAGTGGGTCGCTCAACCAACTGAGCCACCCAGGGGCCCCAGGACTTATCATTTATTTTTAAAGATACTATCTATAAAAAATAAACTAGGAGCGGGGCTCCCGGGGGCTCAGTTGTTTGAGCATCCGACTTCGGCTCAGGTCATGATCTCACAGATTGTGAGTTCAAGCCCAGCGTCAGGCTCTGTGCTGACAGTTCAGAGCCTGGAGCCTGCTTCGGATTCTGTGTCTCCCTCTCTCTCTGCTCCTCCCCTGCTCACACTCTGTCTCTCTCTCAAAAATACATATATATAAAAAAAATTTTTTTTTAATAAATAAACTAGGGGCGCCTGGGTGGCTCAGTCAGTTAAGCATCCAACTTCGGTACAGGTCATGAT